CAAACCAAAACGTTTTTTAAAAAAGTCTGTGTTAACACAGCTATTGTCAAAACTAGCTGTCACTATAAACCATGGCTTGACAGCGTCCCAAAAAGTAAATTCTTAAGATTATGAAGAAACTGTACTGAGTTAGATAATTTTAACGAACAAGCAGATATTTTAAGAAATAAATTTATGGAGAAGAATTATCCAGAAACAGATCTATTGAAAAATATTAATGAAGTAAAAACTATCGACAGAGATGAACTTTTAAAATACAAAATAAAAACTAAAAATTATTCTAAATGTCTTCCTATTACATCAAATATGGATACTTAAATCATTCAGTATCCAAACATTTTTTAAATCACAACAAAGATCCTAAATTATTAAAATGTATGGGAATTAAAAAATGCACAATACCATGGAGAGGAGGCGATATTAAGAATATTTTAGGTAAAGTGGAAATGGAATGGGTTTATAAGTTACAAACCCTTACACCACAAGGCCTTAATGCAGATTTTGATTTGCATAATTTTTTATAATCTATTTTTTATTCAATAGTATTTTTCTTAAAGAACATATATATTTTTTACATTATAATATTCCTTTTACCATTCTTTTTTTATCCATATTTTTATATTATATATTTTTTATTCCTATCTATATATTCAATTTTTTTTTATATTTTTTCTTTATTTAACACTAAAAACAACAAAAAAGAACTCATTATACATTATACAATCTTTAACATGCATTTAACAGCAATATTACCTAAAAGATTGCATTTAAGCTCTAATATCACCATTTTGAGTTATTCATCAATACAAATTTTTACATTTTGTGTGTATATATTCAATTTTATCCATTTAAAACATTAATATCTGCTCCTAATCCATTTTTATTGTGTCCTCAATTTATTTTAGTGTATCTCTTATTATGTGTTTCTAAAATGCAATATCTATACTAAATAGTGATCAAACTGTTTAGTAGTGATGCGGGACCTAGTGCCCATGGACGCCTGGCACCTAACCCACTTCAAACCGTTGAAGTGGATGTAGTGCCTATAGTGTTAATTTAAATAACTACAAAGAATAGAGTGCACTGAGTGGAAGAAATAAATAAATGAATAAATATGGAAAATAACTGGGAAAATATTAAACAACAGAATATGGTGTAGTATATAACGGTGTTGGAGTGGTTAAAAGTATTTGTATAACTCACTCACATGGCTCAGAGCCTTGGATGGATAGGCTCAAGTCACACTCGCAGAGGTATATTTAGGTAATACCAAACCTCTTCTTAGTATATAGATCCAAGTCCTTAGGAAAAAGACCTTTTTTAGTGAAGCAAATGCTATCCTCAGTAAATGAGTATTAAAGGGTGATGTAAACTGAATGCTCACCTTCTAGAGAGCCAAATTTGCCTATAAGAGTGCACAACTCTTCTTTGATAGCAGGAATATACAGGAACTCGTTGGACTTGTTAAAAGGCTATAATACTTTATTAAAACAAATAATTTTAAAAATAAATAATAGCAAGCTAAAATACCAGAAAAATACTGTCCTAGATAGTCCTAAAAAGGCTTCCTGATTGTCCAAGACGCTTTTCGCCTTGTCCTAAGACTTTCTCAATCAGATTCCTGCTTTCAAAATATTGCTAGTTTTTGTACCTGAAGATCACGACCTGATTGGTTGCTGCTTTCGTTTCTCGTCCAATCACGAATGTGGGTTGTGGAGGTGTGTTGCTGCACGGCTGTATGTTGTCCTCCTATTTTGTGTATATGGAAGTGACATATCGGGACGTATACAACGTCACTTCAGTAATGTTTGTACCCTCCATTTTAGACGCAGGCAATGTTTTTCCGGGAAGATATTTTCGAGCAATACTCAGTAGTCACCTAGTGTGTACTGGCAGCTCGTCAAGAAAAAATATAAGTCCAAATAATAAAAATCATTGTATATATATATGTGTATATAACTCGATGGAAGTTTTGCACTCCAGCTCTCCTTTAAGTTTTGGCCCGGTGCTCAGCTGCACATAAATTTAACCTCCATGAAGAAAGCTAGCACTCAAGGACTTCAATGTGAACTAAAACGTTGACAATTTGGATTAAATGCCTATATTTTTCACGTTGAAGTCCTTAAGTGGTAGCTTTCTTCTTGGAGGTTATATATATATATATATATATATATATATAGATATAAAACAAGAGGGGGTTGGCTGCACTCACCTTAACATGCATAAATGGGGGTGCTGCTGGGGGCCAAATAATACAATACACAAGATCCAGCGCACTCACCTATCCACTAAACAGCAACTTCAATGTTGAAAGATTTTATTTGTTTTTTTTTAAAACACCTAATCTAGGCAAAAATAATGGGGGTTTAGTTACATTATATGATCATACAGTGCATAAGCCTGCCACAACGTCAATGTACCCCATCTTTGGCAGGTCCTACACTAACAGCCTAATGTCTGCTCTTATGAGATTAACCTACTTGGGGAAAGAAATTCCATCTGGGGCTCTCTGCAGTACAAGGCTAAATAGGGCCCTGGGATGAGGCACCTGTGACAGGGAGGGGTGCAAAACCAAGGAGCTGGCTAGACTCCCAAATATATATAAAACAAGAGGGGTTTGGCTGCACTCACCTTAACATGCATAAATGGGGGTGCTGCTGGGGGCCAAATAATACAATACACAAGATCCAGCGCACTCACCTATCCACTAAACAGCAACTTCAATGTTGAAAGATTTTATTTGTTTTTTTAAAAACACCTAATCTAGGCAAAAATATTGGGGGTTTAGTTACATTATATGATCATACATTGCATAAGCCTGCCACAACGTCAATGTACCCCATCTTTGGCAGGTCCTACACTAACAGCCTAATGTCTGCTCTTATGAGATTAACCTACTTGGGAAAAGAAATTCCATCTGGGGCTCTCTGCAGTACAAGGCTAAATAGGGCCCTGGGATGAGGCACCTGTGACAGGGAGGGGTGCAAAACCAAGGAGTTGGCTAGACTCCCAAATATATATAAAACAAGGGGGGTTGGCTGCACTCACCTGAACATGCATAAATGGGGGTGCTGCTGGGGGCCAAATAATACAAAACACAAGATCCAGCGCACTCACCTATCCACTAAACAGCAACTTCAATGTTGAAAGATTTTATTTGTTTTTTTAAAAACACCTAATCTAGGCAAAAATAATGGGGGTTTAGTTACATGATATGATCATACATTGCATAAGCCTGCCACAACATCAATGTACCCCATCTTTGGTAGGTCCTACACTAACAGCCTAATGTCTGCTCTTATGAGATTAACCTACTTGGGGAAAGAAATTCCATCTGGGGCTCTCTGCAGTACAAGGCTAAATAGGGCCCTGGGATGAGGCACCTGTGACAGGGAGGGGTGCAAAACCATGTTAAGGTGAGTCTAGCCAGCTCCTTGGTTTTGCACCCCTCCCTGTCACAGGTGCCTCATCCCAGGGCCCTATCTAGCCTTGTACTGCAGAGAGCCCCAGATGGAATTTCTTTCCCCAAGTAGGTTAATCTCATAAGAGCAGACATTAGGCATTTGAGGTAACAAGGGCATCTTTGTAATATAGGCTGTAAACACCTATCTATGTACTGTGAGAACCTACTAGAAATTGATCCTATACCTGAAATAATAGAACCAGGTTTTTAAACCAACCAGTCAATGCCCTCTGAGTCAAACTGCAGGGCATGGGAAGGCTTTATAAACCTTTCCCCTCCCTCCAGAGCTCAGTCTGCATGGTGCCCCCCCCCCCTCTCTGGGTGAACATGTATTTTTTTTTTTAGCGTCAGGATTTTTGGGGGCATTTTTTTGGGGCGCTTGGGTCTTTTTTTATTTTATAAATTCGACAGGCTTTTAATTTTTGGTGCTGAAAAAAGATTTTAGAAAAAAGAAGACTTCAAATGGTAAGTATTTATTTTTATTTACAGGGACTTAGTTTTATTGTCCCCCCTCACAAATTTTAGGGTGAGGTAGGAGTAGGTAGAAATGTATTTTTGGGAGGGGGTGACTAGGGCCTTGGGGACCCATAGTCACACCCACCTCCCCTCCCCCCAGGGTGCTATTTACTATGTGGCTGCAAGATGTAGTCACGGCATGAATAGGATTGCAATTTCATTCATTCTAATGGAATTACGATCTGAACAGAAACTACCAAATGCCATTCTAACACTAATGAACAAACTGTTCATTCTGTTATGGTGGAATTTGGTAGTTTCGCCGGCATCCTATCTATATGACAGGATGCTGGGGAATAGTGAAAGGAGGCATCATGAGATCAGGTAAGAATTGTGGGGAAATTTCTTTGACCGCGAGAAGTGGGTCAAAGCTGGTCAAGCGTAAGAAGCCTCCATAAGACAAATAGTTCCTATTTTGTTTTATGTTTTAAAGAACTAGAGCAGACAAGAAGAAAAGAAGAGCAGTTGCTGACAGAGGGAGAGAAGTGGAAGCGATTTGGGAAAGGTAAGTTCAGCATTACAGTGCCGCTTTAACAGCCTATTGGATTCCTTTACATTGTCTTCTAGTTCAATAATAATAATTACCAGCAAATGTTGTTCTTAAATTCTTTCATGGTCTGTCTTTCTGTAAAACTTAGATTATAATAATTTTTCCTGACATTTTTAATTTTCTTGATATCCTTCATCACCATTTTTTACAATATTGTCATCTCTTCTGAGATGTAGCACCTGGGGAAAAAAATGGATGTTTATTTGAGTTCTCTATGGACAAAATCATAATTTAGGGGGCGGAGCTTGACCACCGAGACAAGCGGTCGCACGGACAGAGAGCTCCGTGAGAAAAACTGAAAACTTGCGGGAAAAACCCAGGCTGGGCACCCCCAAAACCACAGCAAAGATACACCACACACCCCTGTGTGACATGGGGCGAAAAACTAAAAAAACACCAAAAGAAAAAAACACCCAGGGACTTACAATCGGCGACATGTGGAGACAGGCCCGCGAAGTTAACGAGACCAACATGGCGGCGCTCCACGGCGGCTGCTCCGACTTTTCCGAAGACTTCTCCGGAGAGGAGTATATGCCAGCCCCCAAGCTGGGAAAGCAGACACAGCCGACCAACACCAACCCAGACACCGCACCAGTGACTATATCGGTCCTCACGCAGCTTCTTGCTGACCATCATAAAGAACTGCATAATGATATTGCGGCACTACGGGGCGACCTGAAGGGGCTAACAACTTGCTTAAACACACTAGAGAGTGCAACAGAAACTGTTACCCGAGACATTTGGGAACTCAGACAAAACGTGCAAGATCTCCAACGGAAACAAAAGCTACATGAACACCGCATGGCGGAGCAGGAAGATGCCGGGAGACAGGATAATCTGAAAGTCAGAGGGATCCCTGAAACGATCCCGGACACAGAACTACCACAGGTGGTCAAGCGCCTCTTTGCAGTTATATTGTCACCCACACAGGCTAACAAGATTGTCCTTGCCAACATATTCAGGATCCCCAAATCGCCAAAAGCGCCAACCGAAGCCACACGAGACACTATACTTACCTTTCAAACCAGACAGGACAAAATAGCAATCCAAGCCGAAGGGGCTTGGATTGCTATTTTGTCCTGTCTGGTTTGAAAGGTAAGTATAGTGTCTCGTGTGGCTTCGGTTGGTGCCTTGAGGGGCAAAACACCGTACCAATTTGAGGGGATGGCGGTGAGCTTCTTTACCGACCTCTCGAGAGACACCCTGGCTTGGCGGCGATCCCTCCAGCCACTTACCACGCTTCTCCGCCAAAGAGACATTAAATACCGATGGCAGAAGACCCACGTTCTCACCGTACAGCAGGGGCCGGACTCCTACCAAATCAGGGAACTGACCGATGCAGCTCCGTTCCTACAGGCACTGGGCCTACCGCCGGACTCCCTCATCCAGGCAGGCCAGAAGAGCGCTACCCCCCGACACCAACTTTCATGGGACCCGGAGAGATCCACCCGACCCGTATGTGGCACTCACCACTTGATTGATTACCCGGTCCTACAGGGAAACAAATTGCTGATCAGATAAGCCGCTTGCTAAAGCGAAAATTATCTTCATATGAGGGACACTGACCCAGAGTCTTTGGTATTAACGAGGACTCCCCCCAAGCTGGACAAATCTATACACCTGGTGGACACACGCGGAAAGAGATGCCCTAAAACGTGAGGGCAGCTGGACAATACGCCTCCAAAGGGACACTGTCAAAGCGGGTAAAGACCCGCGGCTCAGGTTACTCACCTTGCAGTAGATGCCCTTGTACAGTATCATGGTTGCCACCAGACGGCACCTCTATTGTCTCCCCAACACGAGCGTGCGTCTTAGTTAAACCTACATTTCTGTGTTCCACATTTAGTTAATTACCATTGCATTGCAGGACTGAGACACGCGTGATTTAATATGCCTTTGTTCAACCTACATCTAGTAGGGCACATATAACACCACACAAACTGCAGAACCATGTGTACCCAAACACTGGGAAGTGTTTATCCCAGCCCCACATAACCTTGTTATAGCCTGTTCATTACTCCCACTGTTAACGGAGCTATTTTATGTTATAGATAAATCTTAGCAAGGATAACAAATACTGTTTATTACCTAACTTACTCGGATAGATAGACATATAAACTTACGCAGGATAAAAGAATGGCCATTTAGACCTGATGTCACTGTATAGATCGCATGCCCCTCTCTCAAGCTTAGATAAGCGTAGCTGAATATAACTACACCAACATCATAACACTAAAACGTTGATAATTGATGTGAACACCCATCTTATGCCACTGAGGTCACTGTTGTTTTGTCCATCCTGTACCACATATCGCTGAGACATTTATGTGTATCCTAATATTCTAACATAAAAATGTGCAATGCCTAAAATGCCATATTGATATCCTTATGTGTGTAAAGTTCGATTTGCTCATGCTGTTGTGGCAAAGCAAACTCACCTGTTAATCATATGCACAAATAAAATAAAGAATTATAAAAATAAAAATTAAAAAAAAATTCATAATTTAACTGCTACATTTATCATAATAACTGTTTGCTTCTATGCCTTTTCATATTTTCTGTGAAAATGAAACTCTTGATGGTACCTCTTAAAAAGCTCATAATGAATTACATGGGTGGAATAATCTATCACTAATGGCACTAGTTTGAGAAACCTTTAATAGTTCTTTAAATTATCATTAAAATGTGAAACACAATAACGTGGTAAACTTTACACTCTTCCTATATTAAGTAACCTATGAGTAAAATACATATCAGCTTACATCACTATGAAGTAATGTCTTGCATAATTTTACTATAGGAAAACCTTATTGTGACAGAACACCCCATCACTTGTTTTATTTCCCTCCTGCCCAACTGACTTGGTCCTTTCACTGTTCGGTTTTCTGTACCCCCTTTGTTTGTTTCCTGAATGGATAAGTGTGTTCCACTCTTATACCCCGCGAACCCAGACAACTCCCTAGCTCATTAACTTCAAAAGAAGTCATTAACTCGAGTGCTCTCTCTTGGTGGCCGCCATTTGAATGACTGAACAAACATGCTTATGGAATGGTGGCTATTTTGTCTGCCAAACACAGGCAGCTGTACGTTGTTGTCGAACACATGGAACTAATTCCGGATACGCCAACTAGCGAACCCTGGTGAACTTGCACTGCCACCAGCTCTTCTCACAGACAAGCCAGGAGAGTGCTCTTCAATGAAAATACTCATTCGTCTGAGGGGAGCCAGGGGGAGCATTTAGTTTTATTTGCACAGGAACTCGCGAAAGTTGACCAGCCACTGCCTCTATTTTCCCTGGAACTGTTTTGGGCTACAACCTCGTGGCCGGCCAGTTAGAACTTTACCCCGATGGCGATTCCTTCCATCAATGGATCTGAGCGCTATTTGGACAACCTGGCCGTGGGAATGAGACACCGAGGGGGAAGGGGGGAATGAGACACATGGGAAATTTTTGCACCAGGACCCAGTGGATTCTAGTTACCCCTCTGGCCAGAGGGGTGTAATAAAGTAAAATTATAAAATTGACAATTTCTATTCAAATCTGCACTTTTTGCAAAATGAAAAAAAAAAAAGGATACACTCTTCACACAAGCAAGCTGTTGTGCTTTAGGTGTCTGGAGTATATCTTTAAGAAACTGAGATAACATGAATGTAAATGGAATTGTTTACAAGGTATATAAATACACTTACCTTTGAAACCTGTTCTTTACTTTCATCAGGTGATGTATTTTGTTTCTAGCGTCATGCACACGGAATAGTCACTGTCGTCACCCACTGGGTTAAGAGTAATGTCTCTAAATGATCCTTGCTGGTCTTTTGTAGTATGGAATCATAAGCATGATGGATTTCACATGGTATGTACACAATGGGGGAGGTTGTTAACCATGTAACAAACAGAAAAGTGAGAAAAGCGTTATATGTGTTGCTGTAGCCACACAAACAAAATTGATGTTTCTGCTACATCCATTTGCTTCCAATGTGATTGCTAAACTTTTAGAAATGTACACAACTTTTCTGATATCAACAGTGTTATAAATCTCCCCTAATGTCCCTCATAATTCTGCATGAAATTAAATAGGACTTATTGGGTATGATATCATGCATTGTAGAGCCTATAAGAGTGGAAAACAAGCATGCTTAATTTTAACTATGGTAATAAAGGATCACTACAAACATGCTTTAGCTATGTGAGTAGTGTGTCCCCTTTTCTTTATTTGATAAAAATGCTGATTTCAATAGAAAATAGTCAGTCAGTCAGAAAGCCAGGATTCTTTCTGTGTTTCTGTAGCTAAATTCAAAGACAGGGTCTTGCACTGAGCACTTCCCTTGAAAAGACTTCTCAATGAGCTTCAATACACAATCTGTTCTAGGGGAAATGGGGAGGGCTTATTGTATCTGCAGATACTAGATCTGCAGCTATTGCAAGCCAGGGTTTCATAAACCCTTAAAGAAACTATATAACATATATGTTATATAGACACATATGTACATGTACATGCAGCATAATTTAGAGTTTTTGGTAAAAAACACAGAATGTGCATTTGTTTTATAAACAATACACCTTATTTGCATGAGAAATTGATGGGAATTACTCAAATTAACTTGCGGTCTCACTTTTCTTTTCTTATATTATTTTTTGGGCAAACAATGCATTCTAAACTTTTGCACCTAACCTTAATTAGGACTGCACAAAATAAATAACATAGACAAAACAAGATGGACAAAAGTAGACGTGCATGACCATTTCCATTAGAGCCTAATTTAAGTGATTATCATAACGAGTATAACAATAGTGCAAGGTGCCCATCGGTGCTGTATCCAAATACTGCATATAAGAATTACATTTAAAAATGCAAAAATTCAAATGAATCACACCTTAAGGTAACTCTCCCATGGCAACAAGAGGGTTATGAAAGAATGACAGGACACTCTGGTATTCTAGGTTGGTTATGGTTTTGATGAGTATAAGTCAAGACACTCAAACATATTCTTCTTTAAAGGACCCAGGCCTTTTGAAATCATAAACCATAATCCTATACTTTATATAAATAACCTAAACTGAGCTGAACTTGAAAAGGATTTCCTAACCACAACGTCTGAATTAAAGCTAAGGGTACAATAATCTCAGGGCAATCCCACATGCATATTTCAAGATAGTTAAGTGAATAGGCTATTTCAAGAAACTGTTTATTCATCCCTTAAGCAGTACAATACACTCAGAGCCATGTATTTTTCTATGCTACTATGCAACTACGTCAAACAAACAAAAATGTTCTCATGCTTCAGTTACCTAGAGGTTCGGTTACCTTTTTGAATTAAGACCAATGAGTCCCAAACTGTATAACCACTGCTATCATTGTAGGCAATTTGATACTAGTAATTTATAATGTGTTTTGTGCTTTGAAATAAGCATAGTCATAATTGCAAGCTAAAGTTGTCTTATGAAATGCTAATGTAAATCCAAACTAAGGTTTTAAAGGTGGCCTTATTGGATATAAATAGTTATGGGATACGGTGTATATACGTGTTATGGGATACTATGTATATACGTGTTATGGGATACTGTGCATATACATGTTATGGGATACTATGTATATAAGTGTTAAGGGATAATATGTATATAAGTGTTATGGGATACTATGTATATATGTGTTATGGGATACTGTGTATATAAGTGTTATGGGATAATATGTATATAAGTGTTATGGGATACTGTGTATATACGTGCTATGGGATACTATGTATATACGTGTTATGGGATACTATGTATATAAGTGTTATGGGATAGTGTGTATATACGTGTTATGGGATACTATGTATATAAGTGTTATGGGATAATATGTATATACGTGTTATGGGATACTGTGTATATAAGTGTTATGGGATACTGTGTATATAAGTGTTATGGGATAATATGTATATAAGTGTTATGGGATACTGTGTATATACGTGTTATGGGATACTGTGTATATAAGTGTTATGGGATAGTGTGTATATACGTGTTATGGGATAATATGTATATACGTGTTATGGGATACTGTGTATATACGTGTTATGGGATACCGTGTATATAAGTGTTATGGGATACTATGTATATAAGTGTTATGGGATAATATATATATTAGTGTTATGGGAAACTGTGTATATAAGTGTTATGGGATAATATGGATAATATGTATATGTATATAAGTGTTATGGGATACTGTGTATATATGTGCATTAGTATGTGCATTAGTATGTTGTCGGTATGTGTATCTGTGTATCTGTATGTTGTCAGTGTGTATCTGTATGTGTGTATGTGTATCTATGTGTAGGTCAGTGTGAATCTGTGTGTTTCAGTGTGTGTATCTGTTTGTGTACTTGAATGGTGTCAGTATGTATATCTATGTATCTGCATGTGTGTCTGTGTGTGTATCTGCTTGTCTGTCAGTGTGTGTCTGTATTTGTATCAGTGTGTGTATATTTTTATTTGCATGTCAGTACGTGTGTTTCTGTTTATCTGAATGTGCATTAGTATGTGTCCTTGTAACTGTATGTTGTCAGTATGTGTATTTGTGTATCTATATGTTGTCAGTGTGTGTATGTGTATGTTGTCAGTATGTGTATCAGTGTGTATCTGTATGTGTTTCTGTGTACCTGTGTGTGCTAGTGTCTGCATCTGTATGTTGTCAGTTATCTATGTATCTGCATCTACGTCATTGTGTGTATCTGTATGTTTGTTTATCTGCATGTGTGTCAGTGTGCATCTGTGTCTATCTGTATGTATATCAGTGTGTGTATTGTGTATATGTATGTGTGTCAGTGTGTATCTGTGTGTCTGTATCTTGTCTTTAGCTACAAGGTCCATGATCCATCTGGATGGGTCATCGCCGTGAAGGAGGGAAGTGGTGTGGATCGACTATTTCCGCCTATCGGTCTTGACTACAATGTTTAAAATGCTTTGTGGTTTGCAAGTCACAATTTTAAAGGCAACCTGACAGTTTTTTTTTCATGGTCTTTGCTTAAATTTGCAGGAAATTCTCAGAGGTCCTTGCATAGTTTGAATGTATATAGAAAAAAAACCAATATTGACATAACATTAAACTCATATATACATAAATGCATCAATCCCATATAATTATTACAAGACATATTCTAATAGTTTATTAAATATGCATATTGATTACACTCACAATATACACAAAAATACACTTATAGAAAATTTTATATTTAATATTTTTACTTGATTAAATAGTATGAGCTTTTATATAAAATATTTGCTCTAGATAATACCTCTAACAATTAATGACTTATAAAAATGATAAAACTTAAAATCAGCATTAGTCCGTGTGGACTTAAAGTGTTTAAAACAAACACCCATTTAATTTATTTTCTTCCTAATTTCCTAATATTATCCTTTCCAGTCTTAGCATACCTCAGCATTGTACAGGGACATCCCTGTATTCGCATGTTATACGTGCACATTTTAACATGGTTTTAAACTTTGAGCTAGGTACAACAATAACTTAGTCAACATCATAAGTATAACGTAGTGTGTTCCATTTCTTAAGTTGATTGCATAGATAACTGTACCTATACGAATTTAGCACCACACCCCATAGGAGAGGGTCATGGTGGCGAAAAGGAGGAGAGTGTGAGTGGAAAGAACAGAGTAGAAGAGAGGAGAGAATAGACGGGGCGTTAAGGCGCAAGAGAGGAACCCGGGGGGGGAGGGAGAGAAAGGGGGAGGGGAGAGGACCGCGGGGAGACCCCGAGGTCCCCCACCACAGGAGCCCCCGGGGGGCACGGACATCACGGCCAGCCTCTGAGAATCCAGAAGGCCTGCAGCATGACCTAGGCGCTCAGCAGGCTATCGTACCACGGCTCCAGTGGACCCTCGTATTCTATCAGTCAGATCATCCAAAAGGTGTACCTCTTTAATCTTTGAGATTACACTCGCTATGTGAGGTGCTTCTGGTTTTAACCATGTGCATGTTATCGCTCGCCTTGCGGCTAAGGTAATTTTGTGAATTAGTGTTTGCTCCCTTCTCGTCCATCCATCGATAGATCTATTCAGAAGATACACCAATGGGTCTAAGTCTGGAGCCCTGGAAAAAACCTGCGTCAGAAGGTCCTTCATGGCCGTCCAAAATCTAGTGATTCTTGGACGTCCCCACCACATATGCAGGTAAGTCCCCTTTTCCCTGCACCCCCTCCAGCATTCATCCATGGTGGTTTTGTTCATCTTAAATAGCTTGACTGGGGCTGTATACCAACGGAACATCATTTTAAAGGATTGTTCCTGCAATGTCACGCATACAGAGGTGGTTCTGCTAGCCTCCCATATCTCCTGCCACTCTACACCTTCAAGTTCCTCGTCCAGGTCTCTTTCCCATTGTGCTATATAGGTCAGCTCTCCCCATTCCTGGGCTTCCGAGCAGAAGTGTACTTCCCGAGTTACACATGGATTCAAAAAACGTCAGTGTCTTGTGTGCCATTGCTTTTATGTGGGGCTGTCTGGCAAAGTCCTTAATCTGCAGATATCAGAAGAAGTCCGCAGGTATAAGGTGTCTTCCCTGTTTGAGTTCGTTGAAAGTAATTATGTCAGAGCCCTGGTAGAGGTGATGTATTCTCTGCAGGCCCGCGTGTTCTAGATTCCTAAAATTCCTTGCCGCTATACCTGGGGCAAATGCCCTGTTGCATAGTATTGGCATAAGGGGGGAGGGAGAGGATGCCAATCCGTATTTCCGACCGCAGGAATCCCACAGCCTAAGGGAGTTCAAAATTGACGGGCAGGTGACCCTAATCCTTGGGAACCCACATCGCAAACTGGGGCAGATCTGTCCCCAACATGAGCGACTCTATTTCCACCCATTTCCGTTCGTCAGGGGGTGAATGCCACAGTGCTACCTGTGCCAACTGTGCAGCCATGTAATAGTGAAATAAGTCAGGAAGGCCAAGCCCACCCCTCGTCTTTGGTCGGTACAGGACGTGTCTAGATATGCAGTGTTTTTTATGCTGCCACATAAAGTCACATATCGCTCGTTGGAGTGGGGTAAGTTGCGCCTTGGTCAGGGGGACCGGTAGTGTCTGGAAAAGGAATAGGGCTCTCGGTATTTACAGAGTGAATCCTCTCTATCCAAAATATTGGTTTGTCAATGTGTGCCATAAGGGTGTGTAGTTGCAGGAGTAAAGATTGTCTGGGTTAGCCATTAAGTGAATCCCAAGATACTTGAAAGAGTGTGTTTCTATCTTTATATGATGCGTCCTGTGTATCTGGGCTATGTCTGGCACTTGCATTTTTATAGGGAGTGCGCGCGACTTGCCATATTAGCCTTAAAGCCTGATATTTCCCCGTACGCTGTTAAGACCTCACTCAACGCCCTCATAGGCCTCGTGAGCGTCAGGAGCACATCGTCAGCGTAAGCCCTACCTCCCACCCTTACTCCATGTACCTCTGGGTGTATTCTGAGCGCCTGTAGAAAGGGTTCCAGCGATATGACAAAAAGCAGAGGAGAGAGTGGGCATCCCTGTCTAGTTCCATTATAGAGTGGAAATGGTGGTGTGCCCGAGATCTGAACTTGTGCTCTAAGATTGCTGTACATAGCCTTTACTACTGTAAGGTATTCCGCGGGGAACCCCAGGTGTTGCAGCAATGTAAACATATAATGCCATTTGCCTCGATCAAAGGCTTTTTCGGCGTCTATAGAGACAGCCAGGGTAGATGTATTCGTGACTGTTTGTTTCCATATGAGGTCTACATTTCTACGTGTATTTTCAAACAGCTGTCTCCCTGGGATGAAGCCAACTTGGTCGGGGTCTATCAGAGAAGTCAATTGTGGGGAAAGTCAGTCTTAGCCAGTATTTTCATGTCATGATTTATGAGGGATATGGGTAAAATTGACTTTCTGATCTGCCATGAACTTTAAGAAACATGGGTCCCTGTTGTGTACTTTATTAAAATGTGATGATACAGTATGTTTTTCAAAACCATTTTTGATGTTCCTAATAAGTTCATTAATTCAAATGTGCAAAGGTCATTCGGTTCTTCCCACATAGTGCTAATGGCAAGAACAGGAAAGGAGATAGATCATATTTTTGGTAAAACATGTGATCATATTCCTAATTACATATCCTTTTCTCATGTGGATCTGTAAAGTATTTTACATGTCTTTTAATACTATGGGTATTTCTGCATGCCTGACATAGTCCACAACCCAAAAATACCCTCTTTATATAAGAAGGTATGTGATTTGGTTTCTTTTTTATAATTGTGGACTAATGTCTTTTTTAAATTGGGTGCCCCTTTATGGATTATTATTGGTTTCTCTGGAAGGATATCATGTAGTGCATTGGACAAAATCTGTTTATTATGCGTTTTAGTGTTGGCTCTTTTTGCTATAGAGACATCTAAAAGGTTTTGTAAAATGCTTATCCCCCCTTATCTCAGAATTGTTTGACAGACTCCAGGGTGCTTAGGTGTTTACCAAACAGAACCTTAAGAGTGCTTATAATTTGGTAAGGATTAAGGAGGGACATCAATGGAGAACTGTGTTTAACACAAGAAATGGTCACTATGAGTATCTTGTCATGCCCTTTTACTTATGAAATGCTCCACTCGTATTTCAGGATCTCATTAATGATGTTCTCAGAGACCACATTTCTACTTTCGTATTGATATATCTGGAAGATATACTCATTTATTCCCCCGATCTCCAGACCCATCATCGGCTCAAAAACAGGCTATATTGCAAACTTGACAATTGCCTATTTGACCATATGGAAGTACAGTTCTTAGGCTATATTATTTTGGCCTCTGGTTTTCAGATGGACCCACGTAAACTAGAAGCTGTTCTACACTGTCCATTACCCAATGGGTTAAAAGCCATTCAAAAGTTTATTGGGCTTGTGAATTATTATAGGAGATTCATGAAAGGGTTCTCTACTGTAATAGCACTCATCACCAATATGACTCGAAAGGGGGTTGACTGTAATATATGGTCTAAAGAAACTAAAGAAGTTTTTGAGATACTTATTCGCTTCTGCTGACATATTGGTACACCCTGACGCTAGCAAACCCTTCATACTAGAGGTAGACACCTCTGAGACTGACCTTTCTTAGAGGGAGAATCAGGATACCCCTTTGCACCGTTGTATGTTCTCTTCTAGAAGGTTGTCGCCAGCCGAAAGCAACTATGATATTGGTAACAGGGAATTGTTAGCCATTATCCTAGCTCTGAAAGAATAGCGACATCCTTTAGAAGGTTCCAAGGACCCTCTCCTGATCATAAATGATCACAAGAACTTGACATACATTGGAGAAGCTAAAAGGCTGTCTTCCAGACAAGCTAGATGGTCATTGTTCTTGTCACGCTTTAACTTTATCATCATGTACAGGTCTGGTCCTAAGAACGTTAAGGCGGACGCCCTATCTAGGCAATTTAACGTGGAGGTAGAACAAGAACAAGAAACCTCTCCCATCATACCATCTGAATGTATCA